TCCTCGGTTGAGACAAAACTTTTGATCTAGCGACTTCCATTTGAAGCTGAAGAGCTGAACGTGTCCCTCTCCACAGGGGCTAGTCGAAGGGAAGAGGAAGGGAGGGAAGCTAGCGGCAGGAAAGGGGCACCATTGGCGTTAGGGGTTAATCGGCTGGCACGGGGAGGCAGGTGGCCTGTGACCCCAGTCGGCGGTGGCTCTCTGCTGTCACTGAGCCTCGGCTCAGTGTCCTCCTCTGTACCTCAGGCGGTCGGCGCCTGCGAGCAGAGCGTGTGGCCAGAGTAAGAGCTGTGTTAGATGGTGGCTGTCGTCACTGACCGTGGCCGTGACAGAGACGTCTCACCCGAGCTAGTGAGAGGACCCTGTCTCGGCAGCTTTCAAATCCTGGCCTCCCCTTGAGCTCTGACAGTCAGGGAAATTTCCACTGCTTCGTAATCGAGCGAAAAGTGGACCAGGGGAATGTAATAGTTGACGTTTCTCGAGGGCACAATTAGGTCGGAAAACACCTCGTGGGTTTGTTTCTCCTCTGCTCTGCACACCTGCCACGCTCAGCACCCCGACACCAGATGTGTGGGAGCTTGCCCTGCCACCCCAACTTCGCATCCTGCAGCTTCACCCCATCCGACCTGGGGACAGGGCTGCCGTCCCCTCTCCTCTCAGAGGCCAGCCTGTTGAGTTGGGGGGTGGCCTGTGCTCTTCACCAATCAGCTGTACATCAGACACCCCAAGGCCTTCCCCTTGGATTTGATCAATTTGCTAGAGCAGCTTACAGAACTCGGGGATACAGCTCACTACGGCTCACGGGCTCATTGGAAAGGACACGTGCAAGGACAGAGGCGGATGTCCAGATGGGAGGGACGAGTGGGCGGCGAGGTCTGCAGAAGGTGGCTGAGCCGCTCTCCAGCCGGGAGCCCCATGTGGTCACCACCCCGAAGCTCCCCACACCCTGCGCCTTAGGGAATTTTATGGAAGGCTGCAGCATGTAGGCGCCACCTGTCACTCACTCAACTCCCCCTCCCAGAGGGTCGGAGACAGGTTGGCAGGGCCCAGCTTCTGGCTGGGACTTGGTCTTTCTGGTGACCCGCCCACGGGCGTCCCCCTGCGGAACCACAGGTGCCTCTGCGGACAGGAACGCCCAGGTCTGTTTGTTATTCTCAGCTGCACTCACTGGGGGGCGGAGGGGGGTGCTGGCCTCAGCTTCTGTGCCCTGTGCCCCTGCCGCAGCCTGTGTGAGGTAAGGAGGCATTTGTAGGGTGTGCTCAGACCAGAGCCTGGCACGAGCGAGCTTTCAAGAGCTGCTGCAGGTGCCGGGCGGTGACTCGCAGGCCTGGGTGATGGCCCCACTCCGCTGGCAGCCTGTCCGGGCTGTTCAGAGGTGGGTCTTTCTTCAGCCACCCGGGACCTCCGTGACAGAGCACCTTGCATTTTACCTCCAGGGGGTGAGCACCCCTGGCCTGGGATGGCCGCCAGCTGTCCTGAGCGCCCAGCGAGCCCTGGGGCTGGGTTGCTGCTGCTCGTGCAAAGCTTTAGCCGACGCCTGGGCTGGCAGAGAGGCTGGGGAGCGAGTGGTCTCTGCACCCTTCTGCCTCCCCTCCGTCTCCCGCCGCTCGTTCTCCACCTTGGGCATCCCAAAGGGCAGCCCAACTGTGGTAGCAGCGAGACCAGGCTCTGCTTGACACAGCTGGGAGCTGTCAGTTTGTCCACCACAGGGAATCGGGCCTGTGGCCTGCCCCTGGGCCCCGGAGTCTTCTGCTGGCTCCCGGGCCTCCAGGCTCCAGGTGGTCTGGGAGAGGGGTGGGCAGAGGACAAGACTATAGCCAGAAACATGGCACCATCCCAGAGGATGCGGAAAGAGTTTGGGGGTGGAGGCGAGGGGAGGGCCACTCATCCTCCTGGTTTGGGGTGGGGCAGTTGAGTCTGTAAAGGGATCGGACTTTTGAACTGGACTTGGAGCAAGAGGAAGCGGTCCCTGTGGACAGGAGGTGTGGGGGGCCTTGCAGGTGGTTTCGTGTCCCCTGGGTCTGCTTTCGGAATGGTTCCTGAGACTGGCTAGGGCCCTGTTGGGAGGCCAGAGGCTATGTGCCCCCATACGCTGGGCAGGCAGGGGTGGGGGGTGCTGTCCTGCCCTGCGTCCCACGTGATGCAGCTGTGAGTGAATGTTCTCACCACCACGGTGCTGCGTGCTGTGTAGGGAAGTCAGCTGTGCCCTCATTTTAGGAGCAGGGAAACTGAGGCAAGAAGCTGTGAAGTCGCCCTCCAGCCAGGAGTGGCTGAACTGAATGGGTTTCCAGGCATCTGCTGTGCCCATCCCCCTCCTGGCCAGGCGGGGGGGTGGGGGGGGCCTGGTCAGACGGAGCCTGGCCACTGGGGTGCCTGGCGGCCCAGCCGACTTGCTTCCGGAGTCAGAGGTGACTTTCAGGCCGCTGGGGTTTGCAGGCCTGTGTCTCTCCCAGCTCTCCCCGCCCCCTCCTGGCGGCCCCCCACCTCGTTCCCTGAGGAACAGTGGGCCCTTGTTTGCTCTGAGGCTGCGGGCCTCACAGGGTGGCGTGACTTGGAAGCCTGGCGCCCGCAGACCTCTGGCCACAGCGGGCGGCCCTTTCATTTGAGACTCCCTTGTTACAGCTGAGAGGGATGGGTCAGGCCCTTCCATGTTAGAGAACCACGACTTCCTGGGAAAGTTCCCTTTCCTGGGGGCTGGGTGGGGTCAGAAAAACAAAAGGACAAAACTGAAACTCACTGGCCCCCGCCCCACCCTGGGAGACGGGTCCTGTGTGTCCCTGGGCCCCTTCCCTGAGGCATCTTGAGGCTCCCGCCTCTGCAGCACCCCCTCCTAAGGGTCCCCTCTGAGGTGGCTCCTGGGAGTGTCCTCCCCCATTCCCACAGTGTGCCTGGACCTGCCCGAGCACCTCCTACGGGGTGTGGGAGGTAGCCCCCCAAAGGCCTGGCTTTTCCTTGCTGGCAGGGAGCTTTTCGGGGGTCAGCCCCTCGGGGCACAGCAGCCTGAGTGCCCTCCGAGCTGGGCAGCCCCACGTAGTCCTCAGCAGGGACCCTGCAGCCAGAGACGCCAGCCTGGATCAGGCCTGATGTGTGTCCCAAGTTGTTCTCGTGAAAGGGTTTTACTGCAAAAAAATGCTTGGAAAATACACAAAGGAAGGTGGCCGGCGTCCAGAGTGCACTGTTTACCTTCAGCGGAGGGGCCAGGAACGCAGGGCGCTAGCTGACTTTCCAAACAGCCCTGCTTGTCAGGCCCGTGGCGGCCAGGCTGATGCCAGGCGAGGATGAGTCTGCAGCAGCTCTGCACACCCCCGCCCCCTCCTGGGACCCTCTCAGGCTGCTTTCTGCCCCCCTCTGCTGCACAGGCGCCCTGGAAGGTTCTCTGGAGACGGTGCCAGCTGGGACGGAGTTTCCAAGGCCCAGGGGTGGCCTGCCCGGCGTTGCCGAGTGACCCAGTTCTCTCCCGTTGGCCTGGTCTGAAAATGTCGCCCTGTGTTTGTGGGGCCTGCCACGGCGGGGCCTCGTCACAGCAGATGTGGTCGTGTGTCTGCGGCACCTTCTGAGCGTTTGCTGTCCCCCACCGCCCCCACTGGCTTCTCTGCCTTCCTTCATGTTGCTTTCTACCTGGACACTCTTCCCATTCTCTGGTAGGAAACTTGCACAGAATCTGCAAATAGAACCATCTCGCTTGCACCAGAGGGGAAACTGAGGCCCAGCGGATGGGGAGCCGGGCTGGCGCCCAGGGTGCCTGGCTGCTGTTTGGCCTCCTTCCAGGCCCTAGCTGGGTCACTTCCAGTCTTGCCCAGTCATTTTGCTCCTGGACTCCGGTGTGCGGGCCTGGGAGGTGGAACCCCGGCCTGGGCGCGCTGTGAGGACACTCTCCATCCCCCACCCGGGAGCCGCTTCTCATCGGCAGCTCTGAGTTTCGTTTCGTGGGGTACATGGGCCGGTCGCCGTGGGGAGGGAAGAGTCATCTCCAGTCTCTTCTTACTGTGAAGTCCATGGGTTTTGTTTTCGTAGCAGGTGAACTCCTTCCCTGGCAGACAGTTAAAAAGAAGAGCTAAAGATAATAGTAAGAAAGGGCTGACGCATTTTAGCTGTGAGAACCCAGGCAGGTTTCAGAAGTCTCTGTTCTCCGGGATCTTCACTTGTGAAACTGGATGGGGATAGAGGAGCCAAGGCGTGCAAGTTTGGGGCAGACACCAGCTGCTCCTGGGCTGTGAGGACAAAAGCACCTTGAGCCCCCGGGGGACCCCCCCTTGGGGTTGGGGCTGAGGGCAGGGCGGACCTGCCTTCCCCGGCGTCTGCCGAGGCCAGCCGGGGGTCAGCCAGATACTGGGCAGCTGCCCCCTCCGACGGCCTGGCCTTGCAGGTGGTGGTGGGGCGGCGGGCATCGGGCGGGCCAGGAAGTGTGTCAGGCCACTTGGGTGTTGGCAGGTGCTCCGGCCTTGGGGTCAGGGGGTGCCAACTGTCCATCAGCCAGAGTCTGGCTGCCGTGCCGCCCCATCTTCCTGATCCCGTCCTCTTGAGAAAATAAACACACCCCGACAGGCCGGCCAGCCGTGCCCCCAGTGATGCTGGTACCAGCGGCTGTCAGCTCGGCCAAGACTTGATGTGGGTGCTGGGAGGTGGCCGCTGGCTCTTTGTTCCGATCTCTCCGTGCTGCTTCAGTCTTTCAACCTCACCTTGCCCCAGCCTGTTTCCCCCACCTGAGAAATCTGGGTTGTGGGGCAGATGGGAGTTCAGCAAAGGCTTCTCTGTGCACGGTTTCACAGGGTGGCGCCTGTCACCCTGACCTCACGGGTGTCCTCTGTCTCCCGGGAGGCGTGGGGCTCACAGGCACAGACGGGGCCCACCCTGGAGGAGTCCTGGGGTCTCAGCTCGTCCAGGCTGTGTCTCTTACGAGGGTGCGCCCCATCCATGCCCCCGTGCAGGGTGTGGGCAAGGGCCGGTCAGTGGGTGCAGCTCCTAAAGTCGTCCTTTTTCTCTGTGTCCCCACCATGCAGCTGAACCTTAGCCGGCCGATTGAGGAACAGGGTCCCCTGGACGTCATCATCCACAAGCTGACCGATGTCATCCTCGAGGCTGATCAGAATGACAGCCAGTCCCTGGAGCTGGTGCACAGGTTCCAGGTGAGTGACGGGGCGCTGCTGTGCGTGTCTGAAGCTGCCTTCCGTGCGCCCCGTGAGGCATGACATGGCAAGGCACCCCGCCACAGCTCATCCCCGGGGCGAACTGCGCTTGCACCACGCGGCTCCCCGCTCCTGCGGGGGCATGAATCACGGCCGGCCGGGGCGGCCTCGTCCACAGCTAGCAGCCACGCAGAGGCAGAGGGCAGACGGGCCTTCCGGCCACCCTTCAGGAAGCGTCCCCCCACAGCCCAGGAGCCGTGTCCTCCCCGCAGTCCTGCCTCTCTGCCCTCGCTGCCTTGACCCTCTGTGCTCACCTCTGAGCCCCACTCCCGATGCCCTTCTGAAGCTCGTCTGCCCCCGCATCCCTGTCCCGGTTCCCCTGTAACCTCCTGGGTGCTGACCTCCCGTCCACGCCCTAGGGAGGCCACTGGCAGGCCTCCTGTCTCTCTTGTGGACGAGAACACGATTCGTTCCTCTGAACGTGGCTCAGGGCCCGGAACACTGAGTCATATTATGGGTGAAATGCAGCGGCCTCGGGCCCTGTGGCGGAAGGCCGCGTCAGCCGGCCTCCACGGTGAGACGCTTGGGGAGTCGACCCCATCGCCCCTCCTCGGGCAAGGGGACTCTTCCTTTGGCACCCAGAAGCTCCCTGTTCACGGCAGTCTCCTCTTCTGTGTCGGGGTCACGCCCCCAGCCTCCCTCCCACCCCCCGCCTCAGTTTCCCACCTCCTGTGGGCACGCAGCATTGACCCTCCTGCAGCAACTCCTCCCACGGGACTGGAGGCTGCAGGAAGGCGGGTCCAGGCCTTCCGGGGTCTGGTCCTTGTGAACGAATCCGGGACACTCCCAGTGGGGAGGTGGGGGCCATGGGGCCTTGGGGTGCTCCCACGGTGCTGGGCCCCAGTGAGCGCTGAGTGGGTGGGGGTGCACCTTGGGACCCCTGAGCCCTGTGAGGCAGGGGTGCTCATAGCTGCTGTCACCTCAGGTGGCAGGTTGCCGAGGGGCCTGCGTGTAAGAGCTGGTGCCCGGGGCTGGCTGAGCGCTCACAGCTCCCGCCACCAGGACTCCTGGGATGGCCGCCACTGTCCACCCAGCAAAGCCCACAGCCCTGGCCAGCCAGGGGCCCTGGGAGTCACAGACCCAGCCCCCCGGAACACACAGCCCCGGGCAGGATGTGACTGAGCAGCGAAGGAGCACTTCATCCCCTGTCCCGACAGAAAAGACGGTGACAGAGAGCATGTCTAGGGACCGGGGACTCAGGGACATGTGGTGAGTGGGTTAGCAGAAAGGGTCTGGGACCCTGAGTCCCCTCCTGCGCCCCCCCCCTCCCGGGGGCCCTCAGGACCGAGGTGACCTCAGGATGCCCTTCCAGCCCTGGTGTTTCTGGGGCAGGTTTTTGTCACAGTTTGTGCTCCAGCGTGAGGCCGGATATCTGTTGAGGGCAGGACGCTTCCTCCTTTGTGAGAGAACAATCCTTTGGGGAAAAGGGTGCCAGACTTCGCTTTTTACAGAGGCCCCGGGAAGAGAGGAGACAGGCCGGGGTGGTCAGGAGAACCAGGAGACCGGCTGCAGCACCCGGGCCTTCTCTGGCCAGCGGCACGGGCTGCCGGCACAGACCTGGGCGGTGCCCCACTCACCTCCCAGACTCGGCTGCAGCTCCAGACATGTGGCCTTGACCTCGCCTGCCTTCAGAATCCTGGTTTCATATTTGTTCGAGGGCATTGACAAAGGAGCATTGTCTTGGGTGGGAGGGGCACAGGGTGACGGAGCCAGAGGGACCAGCGCAACTCAGAGACAGGGGCACGAGCTGGCGTTGGCAAAGCCACCTCTTCTGCATTTGGCTGTGAGCAGGGAGGGTTAGATGGGTGGTCCCGGAGGGGCTCGGCCCCACAGGCCTTCTTCAGCGCTGTTCAGGTCCCTGGGGGAAGTGATTTGGGCTGTGCGGGTCAGGGAAGATGGGTCCTGCGAGGACCCGCCTTCCCCCACGCCTGCTTCCACGCCGCCACCCACTGGAGGGTGGAGGGTGGGCCTGAGGCTTGCTGCAGAGCTCTGAAGCTGTTGTCATGGCAACACCTCCCCAACCTTTTCTTCTTAATACTGGCCTCCAGGGTTTGGCTGGAGAATCACTGGGTTCGTGCTGATGTCTGTCTGCGCCAGGCTCCTTGGAACCGCAGCCCGGGGCCTCCGAGGCTCAGCTGTCAGAGAGCCAGCCTGGGCGAAGGTCCCTTGGGGCCTGCCCCTGTGGGCCAGGAGGGCTGATGCTGGGTCGGCGGGAGGGTTCCTGCTCCCTGCTGAAGGGGCCCCTGGTGTCTGGAGCTGCTTCCTCGGGAGCACCAAGTCCTTCTCCCGCTGGCACCCAGGCCCACAGCGGTCGGAGTGTGGTCCACTTTCTGCTGCCCCTCCCAGGGTCGCCTGGAAGGTTATGGTGACTGTGCTGCGGGACAGGTGGACTTTGGCCTGAGTGAGCTCCAAGACGAGGTTTGACGCAGCCGTCGTAACTGGCTGGCAGGACAGAATTGTGCCCCTCATGGCCACCGGACCCCAGTGTGAGCTCAGGAGCAGCTTCCCGCTCAGTGGCCCTGCTGAGTACTGTCCTCACGGACTCCCTGCTGCGGGGAGAGCCAGTGTGGAAACCAGGCACTGCCCTCACCGCCCAGCCGTCCAGAGTGCTGAGTTAGGCCCAACTCTGATCTCTGCGCATCGTCCCAGCCTTACTGAGCCGCATCTTCTGCTCTAACCAGCCGACTCTCCAGTGAGGCCCCAGCAAGCTCGCCGCCTGGCAGCTGCTCCCTCCCCCGCCGCTCTTCCCCTCGACCCCACCTCACCGGCCCTCCCACGGCAGCTGCCCAGCTCAGCTCGGAGTGCGCCCACCCCAGAACCTTTGCGCAAGCTGTCCCCATGCTTGGAATTCTGTCCTCGCCATTGCTCTCAGCCCAGATGGCTCCTTCTCAGGGCTGTTCCCTGATGGGACAAGGACACGGCCCCTGTCTGCGCTCACAACCCTGCACTTTGCTTTGGCTCCATTGTGGGGTTTGGCTCCACACAGGGCGGGGCTGTCGGCCTCCAGCTCTGCTGGTCTCCCTATTGCTGCACGTCCTGTGCACCTGTGGAGTGGACGAGCACTGTGCCGGCCGGGTCAGTGGAGGGAGTGAGAGGCTCCAGTGGGCAGTGGAAGGCTGGGGCGGGGGGCTCTTTCCTGTGTGGCTGTGGAGCTTGGACTTCATCCCTGGCCAGGGTGAGGGGTGATGAGATCAGATTTCAGTGTCCAGGAGAGGCCCTGCTGGGGACGGGGCAGGGAGTCACCAGTACAGGATGAACTCTGAGCCGGGAGGCGCCAGAATCTCTGGAGCTTGGAGGTTTCTGAGATGAGGAGGGTGCTCGTGGAGGCTCCTTGGGGCCGCATCCTCACCCCAGGGCCCCCAGTGACAGGTCCAAGCCCCCCTCAGCTCTCAGGTGCCTGCCCACGCTGTAGGAAATGGATCGGGACATGAGCTTCCTCTTAGCTTGGTGTTTTCTAGGTTCCTGTTGCAGTGCGAATCAGGGCTTATTTCCTTTTTATAGCCGTGTAGTATTCCACGGTGTAGAGAGACCTCATGGTGAGTGTCCTCCTGGCACCAGCTGATGGACTTTGGTTTGTTTCAGCCTTTGGCTATTGTAAATGGTGCTGCTGGACACTCACCTGTGTGCTGTTGTGTGGACTTATGTTTTCATTTCTCCTGGTTGTGTATCTGAAGTGGGCTGTTTGCTCCATGATTGACGGAAGACCCTTTGGCTGTTTTCCCTGGTAGCTGCACCGTTTCCCATTCCCACCAGCAGTGTGTGAAGGCTCCGGTCTCTCCTCACGCTCACCAAAACTGACTGACTGATCTTAGCCATCCTGGTGCGTATAGAATGGCACCTTGCAGTTTTGATGTAGTCTCCCTGACAGCTAACCATGCCAGGCCTTTTCCTGGGCGGTGTCCACTTGCACATCATCAGGGCACCTTCCTTTTAATTCATGCACAGTGCCTGCAGCCGTCAGATGTGCCTTGGGACTCGGCCCAGTGCAGAGGGTCAGGAACACCTTGCTGGAGCTCGGTCCGTCAGGGTAGGCCCAGCCACACTGCCGGCTTACTCTACCTGTGCCGTCTGTTGTGCGGGTTGGTTACAGAGCCTCGGGCACCTGGGGTGATGGGGCCACTGTTGGCAGGTCATGGAGAGGCAGGTGGGCTCCAGAGGCCTCTGGCTCTCAGTCTCTGCTCCAGGGGCCTCACCAATCCTCCAGCCACGACTTGGGGAGGCAGGAACGGCCTGCAGACCAGGGAGCTGAATCTGGTGAGCTGTGACACACGGCGCCTTCCCCTTCTTCCCAAGTCAGAGAGAGTTCAGCCACCTGGCAGCTTCTTGTGAGCTGAAGCCAGTGCCTGTGCTTGACGCAGCAGAGTGAGGCCCTCGGCACACGCTGCCCCGGCCCGAGAGCCCACTCAGTCCGCTGGCATGCCCGTGGTCACGTGACAGCCGTCCGGCTCGAGACGTCACCCCCAGAGTCGCGGCTCTGTTCTCCTCCCTACTCCTGGGGCCAGAAATGAGCCCACAGCTGCCGGACTCCAGCACTGTCAGCGCAGACATATCAGAGCAGCTGCCTGCGTGGCTCGGCGGGGCGCTGCCTCTCCAGGGAGGGCGTGCAGGTGGAGGAGGAAGCCTTCTTGTTGTTCTGGGCCTGCTGCTCTGATTTAGTTTCTGTGCATCTGGGGCCCTGAGCTTGGTGGTGTGTGGACATCACATGCAGTAGGAAGCCTGGGTGCCCGCGAAGGGTCCGGTGGTCATCAGGGAGCCTCAGGGGCGGCAGCTGCTCCCCAGGCGCCCCCCAGTGGGCCCTCTCTGCTTGGGGTTACTCCACATTGCCTGGCTTATGTGCTCCTTCCATCGATTCCCTGGAAGATGGGGTCACTTCCCCACTTTTTGATGGGGAAACTGAGGCCCCGGGAGTTCAGTTGTTGCCTGGGGTCCGTGACAGAGCC